TCATGGAGGGTTTCTTGCGTAATATTTGATACTGGTGGAATGTTTGTGTTGTGTTCAAAAACGTTAATGTTGCCTTCGTCCTCTGAACTATTGAATGCAATGTCGTGTAGGTTATCAGAGTCCATTGTGTTTGGGTATTTTCTAGGCCGTCGGAAATTATATCTATGCTCTGTCATTTATCATTGGGGACGCTTATTGCAGGGAGGGATAACTTATTACTAACATAAAATTCTTATATTCAATATACTTAGATTAGGCTAGTTGCAATAACGAGATATTTGAAGACCTTTTGTAGCCAATACGTTGGACGCCATTAAAAGAAAACACTAATGCGTGTTGTGTTTGTAATAATTTAGACTAAGTTAGTAAAATTTGGTCTAGGTTTGTACCTTTAATTTGCTTACTATTTATTATGCTAAGTTAAGCCTAGATTAAATACTTATAGCAAGACAAATGATTAATCTGAAGAATTTCTTAACAATACAAATTTAATGAACTAAAAATAAGATATTACAATGATGAATGGGGTAAATGAACAGATAACAGATAAGTTAAGTTATAGGGTTGCCATCTTTGGTTTAGCCTAGCTCAGTAAAAACAGAACAATGAGTTACAATTTAGTTTAATTACATAAATCTCAGGGAGGGGAACTCGGCTGGCTAAAAAGATCTTCAAATATTTTAATTTATGAAATAAAATATGTCAATTATTATGAAAAATGGGATAATTTTGATATTGCTCTTAGGCTTGGATAGGTAAATTAAATAAGTCCAACAATGAATAGACTAGGTGAAAAATTTATCAAAGTTTTGAATTTAGTTCTCTTGTTCAAATTGTTTTTCTGGGATTATTCTTGATGAAATAAAGTAGTTTTTGAATTCAAATAATTAGGTTCGATGATCAGAAAGTAAATAAAATAGGTCTATTAAGTTGAATTTCTTGAAGGTAGGCTAAGCCTATACAAAATGGAGAGTTCTCACCAGATCTTCAGTAATAGTGTCCAATTTATATAAATCTTGAAGTGGCAGTACAATTTTGAAATGAAAAAAAAAATTATATAGGGTGTCCCACGAAGGGGTTTAAACGTTTGATTTTATAATACGCGCCCATTCATGCACCGAACTTTTTGAAACTTTACACAGTTTACAAGGTAGGTTTTAAAAATATTCTGGAAAAATTTCAACTCCCTAACCTTAGTAGAAACAAAATGGCGGCATATTGAAAAAAGTTACTTTAAAACATTAAAAAAGGTATTTTTGGTTTTATAAAATATTTTTATTGTTACTTTCCAGGGCAATATGACTTTAAAACAAGAAAAAATTAGAACATAGCCAAATGGAAAACTAAAAATTAATCAAATAACTAATAAATAATAATAATAAAAAAATAACTAATAATAAATCATGAAAGTAGTTTTTATAGAAAGCACATTGGTAAATTTGTCAATAAGCCGCCATTTTGTTTCTACTAAGGTTAGGGAGTTGAAATTTTTCCAGAATATTTTTAGAACCTACTTTGTAAACTGTGTAAAGTTTAAAAAGGTTCGGTGCATGAATGGGCACGCAATATAAAATCAAACGTTTAAACCCCTTCGTGGGACACCCGGTATATAAAAGCTAAACTGTTATTCTGTTATTAAGTTAATGTTCAGTTAAATAATTTTAATCAATTTGACTTAATTTAATACTTTTTAAAATGTTAGGGATTATACCCTCACTGAATTTAAGGTGTTGAAGCTGCCATGTCCCAATTGAGAAGGAGGAAAATTTTTATTTTACACAGGATGATCAGAGTTCATTGTTGAAGCCAGCTGTCTTCTTTCTTCATCACTTGCACATGCACTAATAATCAGGCTTTTGAATAATAATTCAATGTTGGGGTTTTAGAAATAATTTATACTATATTAATAATTTTGGATAAAAGTGTTATTGCAACTATGGACTTAATTACAGGTTACAGTTTTTTATTAATAATAATATGTGTTGAATATATACAATATATTTTAAAATGTGATGATGGTTTCTGAGGGGTGATTAAAAGGATAATATAATTTAAATTTACTATTAATTTTATGACAATTTATTTAAATAGGCTATATGGTGAATTTTGGTACAATAAAAGAAGAAGAATTATATAACTAAAATAAATTAATGAAGTGAATGGGCTATATGACATGTAACATTGCAACCATCATGAAAGAAACTAGATTTCAAGCAAATTTTCAGTATCCAAGACACCGTCTGACACTATCTGAAAAGACACCACAATATATGGGGATGAAACTCTGTAACGGGTCCAATAAATAACTAAATAAATAATAATAATAAATATTAATAATCGAACATAAACAAATGATCAATTATCGGGACGGTACGGTAATCAAACCAATTATCAATATTCAATTCAATAATGGACGCTCAGTTAGGCAACATGGTGGTTAAATTAGAGCCAAATGGTTTTAAATAAAAGGAAATAGTAAATGTTCCAAGATGGCTAGATGAAAGCCCTGTTGTCGTTGACCAAGACGAAGGGCGGGGTTTGACGCAAATCGGTGTTCTGCGCATGCGCACCCGGGTTGAGATTTGAGAACTGTGGAAACGCTTTTGGTCTCCAAAACGGAAATTTTCCGTTTTCGAGGTGTTCTCCTATTACTTTTAGCTCAACCGAGGCGCAAGCTCGGTAACGAGACACTTCTTCACAGCTCTTGATGGCGGTCTGACCTATGTCAGTCCCGCTACCAACTTTTAAGTAATCTACCACCAGTCACCATGTCGATTTTAATTCCTATAGTTTAATCCGAGTACATCCAGTTAGAACTTTAAATTTTTAGTGAAGATAGTCAAGTCGCGGCCGGTCTATGCCTTTTTATAAACTAATTTAAACGCCGCTTGGAAAGAAGTTCGGCTAGGAGGGCGACGCCATGACATCTACGCCGGCATCGGCCTGGGGACGCTACCAACGGTCATCCACAACGTAGACTCGGGGAGTGACCATCTACACTACAGGCGGTGGACAATTGGACATCTCATCTCGCCTCTAACCCTAAGCTAAGTGTTTTATCAAACTTAGTGGTTACTATGCCAACTTAAATATTCTATAACCTAAAGTAAATTCAGTTTTTTGCAATGTAAATTAACTTCACCTTCAAAAAACGATTTTATAAGGATAGATTTTCTTTTGTGTAACTTATTCTGGAATGTAAAACTTAAAACATCTGGTTTTGCTTAAATTAATAAAATAATCTTTTATGTTCTGAGAATTTTTATTTTATTAAAATGAAATAAGCCCCACCGAACCACACAAACCCTGAGATAAGAGAAAGGCTCTACTAGCATAAGTTAAAGTAAAATTAGTAAATTAAATAGGTATGTAACTGGTGTGATTGACTGAGTGACGGCCTAACACTAGTCAATAATTATTAATTAATTCAAAGAAATAAACAGCACCGTTACAACTCTACAATACACTACCCAGCGAGTTGAAGGAAATAATAGAGGAGAACGGCTTTAGAAAAAAGTTAAAAGATTTTTTGATAAAAAAAATGTATTATTCAGTTGACACATTTTTAAATGATAAGTTTTAGTAAAACAACTTGTAAAGAGATAATTCATGTTTTTAAAATGATTTTTGTGAGGTTTGACTAATTTTTTTCTGGATACTTATTGCTAGATGTAACCTACTCAATTATGATAACTTTATTATTAACTTTAACTTTACTGCATTGACAATGTCATCTATTCTGTCTAGCTTTGCTAGTGTAAAAGAATGTACTGTTATGACAATAAAGATATTCTTAATATTCTTATTCTTATTCTTATTCTCACCTGACAGAGGCGCATGCGCGAGTGATCCTGGGCTTGCCAGTGCTAATTAGGCGGGATATTTGAATGTGGGTGTTGTGGAGACTGAGCTTCGCAATTTTACTAAAAATTACTTCTTAGTGCAATTCCCGTTTCCTTTTACTGGAAATTTTTAGTCACCCAATTTAAAATAGATTTCTTAGTTTTGACATTCTTTTTCCAATGATTTAACAGGAAATATACATTCTATTCCTAAACGACATGGTATATTAGGTGAGGTCAATACTTCAGTATGATAATTTTTTTTGTTGGGCATCACTCACCTTATTGAAAATTTTGAGAACGTAGTCCTTGTCATGTCACAATCATACACAGTTCATTGCACATAAAAATATACAAAAATAAAAATTAAACTAAATTTAAAATATCAGACAAAAGTTCTCAGAACAGCTTTCACAGAACAGCTTTCAGAACAGTTCTCAGAACTTTTGTCTGATATTTTAAATTTAGTTTTATTTTTATTTTTTTATATTTTTATGTGCAATGAACTGTGTATGATTGTGACATGACAAGGACTACGTTCTCGTGATTTCAATAAGGTGAGTGATGCCCAACAAACAAATTATCATACTGAAGGAAATATACAGTCAAACTCGAAAAAAGATAAGAAATTGCTCAAAAAACCTTTGTAATATTCGTTGGTGTATAAAGCGGGGCTGGATACAAAATTATTAGTCTCAGTAGAGAGCTGCAAAATTGATATGTATTCCTATCAGTGATGATTATTTTTTTAAGAACTTGAAATAGAACCACACTATGGTGGTTTATAAGTGAATTGTGTTTACTATCACTACTTACATATATTGTTGATTATAGGAAAGGTCTACAGATTAGACATTCAACCATTTATATTGGATTATTCCCCTGTTTTGTTTGTCCTTCCTTAGGTTACTGTTTCCTATTTTTGACTTCTTCATTAAATCACTATGTCGGTACCATTGTGGTACTTTGACCAAATATGATTTTAAGTATTAGTGAGCTACAAATGTGGAATTGCTGTGGTGCTTTAGTTACTGACCAAGACAAGCTGGCCACTTAATGACCAGAGATCAAAGACAGTTGGTCGAGTGTTAAACTATTATAATGCTCAGAGATTTTAATCAGGATCAGATCACCAACCTTATGATTTGTATGTTACAGGTCAAGCGATGGAGATAGGCGCACCAGCCATCACATTCCTGATGGACACATGGGAAGGTCATCTGACGCCCCCGGAGGCAGTGAGTATAGCTGACCGAGCGTCCCGAGGGTGTGACCCTAACATGGTGGCAGCAGCAGCACAGCTGGCTCTGTCCTGCCTACCTCATGCACATGCACTCAACCCCAACGAGATCCAAAGAGCTATACTACAGGTCTGTCATTCAAGCATAACTGATATTATGTAAAGTTGTGTATTGTAACAATATAATTTGTTGGAAGACAAATTGTATATTGTAGGTAGATCCTTAAAACCTATGCTCTTGTCCTTTATCATAAGCCCTTACTGTAATTCTATTTGATGAAAAATATAGTAATTTTGTTTGAAGTGGAAATACAGCATATTTACCATGAAAAGATAAGTCAAGCCCCCTAAAATCATTAAGATAACACAAAAACACAGAAAACCATGTTTTTTTTTTATTCTTTCTGTCTTGGGTTTTAGTTTTTAGGCTATGAAAACTTACTTCTATTCATTTTTGTGTAGGCCTACCGTGTTTCAATATACAAAACTACTCACACCCTACTAAGGACTGATAGTAGGGTGTGTAATCAGGTCCTAATAACTATTGGACCTGATTTGGGCTTATTGACTTGTGCAGCCTATAACAGAGACAGCAAAACCAAGATTTTAGAAAAAAATAGAAACCCTAAGAAATAATTGATTTAATTTAATTGTTAGTTAAGAAAATTGAGTATGCAGCAAAAGTATCTTTAAAAATATAGTTTTGGTTGTTTGTAGTGCAAGGAGCAGAGTGATCTAATGTTAGAGCACTCATGCTTGACAGTAGAGAGTGCAGCCAAGGGAGGTGGGGTGTACCCTGAAGTGCTGTTCCAAGTGGCCAAATATTGGTACGAACTCTTCATGCGGGTGAGTCACCAAATATAGAGAATTTAGTAGATTCCATATGGTATTTGTCTCAAATATAAATATCATTTTAAAACATTTTTCCTCTAAATACAATCAAATTAAAAACACAATTTGCCTGTTGAAAATCTAGCAAATGTTCTCCAAGGAACATTAAAAATTTTAAAGGTAAATGTAAATTTGATGGTTATAAAATAATATTCTCTTGTAGTTAAACTGTAGAATAGATTTTGCAGTACAAAATTTCAAGCCCTGTAATACAGATATGATTATAGGGGTCGCCGGAATTTTATCCCCCTGGAATTTTACCCCCTGGGCAAAGCTGACGTCACTATAACGTAGTAACCTGAGTGGCCAAAAGTTTGTTCGCGGCCGGAATTTTACCCCCGCGGATTTGGAAGTCTAATGAAAATAGCTAAAGCGTGATTAATTAGATTAGCGATAAAAACCAGAATTTTACCCCCTGTCCATATAACTAGCGTTTAGACAACTGAAGATGTACGGGCCGGATTTTTACCCCCGGAATTTTACCCAGGGATTTTTACTCCCGGATTTTTACCCCCTGGAATTTTACCCCCTGGCCGATTATAGAAATTTAATGATTGATTTTCTTATTTCTGTTTTTAATTAATTGTAAACATTTAATTATTTAGTAGCATATCTTTATTTATTTATTTTGTGAAGAAATGTTCGAAACAATTATCATTCAGTTGATTGTTTATACGTCATATTAACCAACTGTTGGCTTCAAAAATCGAATCCTAATACTAGAATCTCAAAATTAAAATTAAAAACCTTTTCGATTAGTTAATTTTACAAATACCCGGTACATTAAAATAGGCTACTTAATAATAAAATATTTACTATTAAATTAAAACAGAATGAAGATAATTAATCATTCTCACTAATTTATATATCTGGCGAGGGGGTAAAATTCCAGGGGGTAAAAATCCAGGGGGTAAAATTCCGGGAGTACAAATTCGGGAGTTAAAATTCCGGGGGTAAAATTCCGGGAGTAAAAATCCGGGCCGTACACTTTAGGTTTTTATACTTTGATGTGTTCTGATTAAATTCACAACCGCAAAAATATATGTTTAATTCCGCTTTTAATCCATTAAGCTGATGTCGCGAAACTCAAAAGTTCGCGGCCGAAATTTTACCCCCTGGTTTGTGACGTCACGTTTGCCCAGGGGGTAAAATTCCAGGGGGATAAAAATCCGCTACCCCGATTATAGTAATTAAAGACACTAGGGACTGGATATTAAGTTCAAGACAGATTTTAGATCTCATTAAGATAATTATTCGTTTCACAGTTTTACAATGGTTAATAAATAGTAGGGATGGACGGGATTGAATTTTTGGTTCGGAACGGGACGGGACGGGATTTTTATTTCCTTCCCGATTTTTAGGATGGGACAGACGGGATTTTTTCCTATGCATTAAAAGGAAGTATTGCAGTTACCAAAAAAGAAAAACAAAATCAGTTTTTTACCATTTGTAGCACTGATCTATAAAAACAAAAAATTGGTAAAAACTTACAGGTTTGGTACAGAAACTTGTGACTCACGGTCACGGTGCGATCGTCGGCATGACTCCGCGGTCACGGTGTGATCCTCGGTAAGACTCCGCGGTCACGGTGCAATCGTCGGTATGGCTCCGCGGTCATGGCGTGATTGTCGGTATGACTCCGCGGTCACGGCGTGATCCTCGGTATGACTCCACGGTCAGGGTGCAATCGTCGGTATGGCTCCGCGGTCATGGCATGATCGTCGGTATGACTCCGCGGTCACGGCGCGATCATCGGTATAACTCCACAGTCACGGCGTGATCCTCGGTATCAAATCAAATCAAAACATCTTTATTTTCCTTACATGTACATGGGTACAAAAATATTATCAATTATTAAGTACTAAACTAGCCTAGATATAAATACATTTTAAGTATGAATATTTATTCAATGACTTCCTCCATTGTATAAAGCGCCTTTCCAATTAAATATTTTTACTTTCTCCCCCTATACCATAGTAATATGGAGAAAGTATTGTTTTCGTCAAAATTTTCGAGTTTGAGTTTTGAGTGGATATATTCGTTTTGGGTCCCCCTGGACCCAAAAAAGTGGTTTTCGAAGTGATGTCTGTGTGTGTGTGTGTGTGTGTGTGTCTGTGTGTGTGTCTGTGTGTGTGTCTGTGTGTCTGGATGTGTACAGAGCTAGGGACTACACCTGTGGTCCGATTTCGATGAAATTTGGTATGTAGGTTCTAATCCATGGTATCTCCAGGCGTTTTTTTCATTTTTTTGAAATTTTGATTTTTAATGGGGATTTTCCCATAAAAACCCATAAAAAACTTGAAAAATCGGATTTTCTCGAAAATGGCCCGAACGATTTTGATAAAAATTTAGTATGTTGTAGCCCTTTAAATTCTGAACAAAATGGTACAAATCCCATTTCTGTAAAAATTACGGTTCAAAAGTTATGGTAAATTATGTTATTTTCCCATAAAAACCCAATAAAATAACGAAAAATAGGATTTTAGAAAAAAATCCGGTTTTATTTTAACATAGTATGTTATGGTCCTTAAAGTTTTGATAGTTTTTTCATTTTTAAAAAATTTTAATTTTTAATGGGAATTTTCCCATAAAACCCCATAAAATAACAGAAAAATAGGATTTTCCCAAAAACGGCCCGAACGATTTTGATAAAAAATTTGTATGTTATAGTCCTTTATATTCTGAACAAAATGGTACAAATCCCATTTCTGTAAAAATTATGGTTCAAAAGTTATTGTAAATTATGTTATTTCCCCATAAAAACCCCATAAAATAACGGAAAAATCAGATTTTCACAAAAATGGCCCGAACGATTTTGAAAAAAAATTAGTATGTAGTCCTTTAAATTCTGAACAAAATCGTACAAATTACATTTCCGTATATTTACTTTCACCGCTTACACATGATAAAGGTTGTTGACAAACTTATGGGAGAAAGTATGTGTCAGAATGCTGATACCGTTTATTTTAAATTTAGCTTTAAATAATTTATAATTTGATTCCTCCTTTATAGAGGCAGGCAATTTCCTTAGTATTAGTGATCCAGCAAAAGTCGGTTTCTTTTTGGAGAATTCCAGCTTATAGGATGAAGTTACAATATCCTTTTAGCGAATTTCCCTATAGGGAAGTATCTATTACCGAAGGTCTCATGGTAAGACCTAGGCCTGGGACCGATTTCCTTTTTCATTTTGATGTCCCCAGAGGCCAAAAACACCATTCGTTCAAATTTGTATATATCTTTATATAGAAATATATATATATATATATATATATATATATATTAATAAATAATATGTAAAATAACATGAATACCCTTTTTTTATTCTTTTTTATTTAATAAAACACAACATGTTTCGTCTCTAAGGACATTTTCAAGTGTGTTAACCTAATTTCAAACAAAAATATTATGTTATGAATAAATACAGCTGTTAATTTTGTTAGTATGTGAATGAATGTTTAGTTGTTAGTTTTTCTAACACTTATAATTTTGTTAAATATAGGATTAGTGGTTTGTGTGTGTACTATATTTAAAATGTTGTCTCATTCTTCTTTGTAGTGTTTATATATGTGGAAATTTTCTTTTATGTTCATTTTGGTTCCTTTGATAATAATGTCTAGTATGGTAATGTTTTCGTTATAATTTTTATATTTATGGTCTGTAGAAAGTATGTGTTCTGCAAATGTAGATTTTTGTGTAGTTCTGTTGTTTGATTTAATTGCTTGAATATGTTCCTTGTACCTACTTTACCTTTACCTACTTTACCACTACTTTACTACCTAACTTACTTACTTACTTACTTACTTACTAACTAACTAACTAACTAACTAACTTACTTTCTTTACCTACTTTACTACTAACTTTACCTACTTTGAAAATTTCGTCCTGTTTGGCCAATATAGAATTTTGAGCAGGAACTGCAGTTTAATTTGTATACGCCAGATTTGTCTTTTATGTCTGATATGTTGTTGTTTGACTGTGAAAATTTGTTAATTAAATCAAATGAACTGTTTCTTGTCCTGTATGATAACTTATAATTTTGGTTGTTAAATGTTTTCCTATATGCTTTGTTAAATGTAATTGAGTAAGGTAGACATAAAAATTCATGTTTTCTTTCTTCTTTCTCGACATGTTGGTTTTTTATCCCTGCTTTTTTCTTTATCATTTTTTCTACGGTTTTGCTGCTGTATCCATGACTCTTTGCTAATTTTGTGATATGTTCCTTTTCTTCAATAAAGTCTTCGTTACTCATGGGAATGTTAATAAGTCTATCAATATACGAATGGAATGTTGCCATTTTGTGTTGCCAGGGATGATTTGAATTTGCTGGCATGATGAGATTGTTCTCAGTAGGCTTTCTAAAAATTTTAAATTTATGTAAATTGTTTTCTTTGGTTATGGTCAAATCTAAGAAATTGATAGATGAATTTTGAACTTCTAATATGAATTTAATTGATTTTTGAAATTGTATTCAAGTATATATATGTGTCCTTCCGCACGATAACTTGAGTGATTTTTGTCCGATTTTGATAAAATTTGGTTTGAAGGTGTAAGGCGGGAAAAACTTGAATGAGTTCGCGAACCAGCATGATCAGACTATTGGAACGGGGGTTTATGGGGGGTTTTATGGGGTATAAATAGGTTTTTCCCATTTTTGACCCTAAAAACACAAAATTTCACAATTTCTTTCTAAACCATTTTGTAGAGATTAAAAAAACAAATAATTTAGTATATTGAAGCGTTATTATGCGCCTAATTGCTACGGATAAAATTTTAAAAATTGTCATTTTAAAATTTCCATGTTATTGTTATGGAGAATAAGTCAACTGCTGTAGTTTGCTTGTTTATGAACATATTTTGATAAATTTGGAAAACTAAATTAATTTCTTACTTAACTACAGTACCTTTTAACATTTTACATTTTTAAAAACTTTTTTACCCTCCCTGTTGCATCAAACCTAAGTACTCGTTGAACTAATTCTGTTTAAATAGGGAACAAATGTGATATTTTTAAGGAGATATTTTAGTGTAAATCCAATCAGGCAAATGGAAATTCGCTAAGTCTGCAGTTTTGCTGTGACGGGGGTATTTATGTCTTGTATTGTAACTATGTGGCACAACAGGCTCATATTTTATGCTGTCTGTTTTTATGACTTCGCGGTCACGGCGCAATCGTCGGTCTGACTCCGCGATCATGGCGTGATCGTCGGTATGACTCGGGGTCAAGGCATGATCGTCAGTATGACTCGCCGACACGGCACGATCGTCCTTATGACTCGCGGTCTCGGTGGGACCGTCGCTTTGACTCCGCGGTTACGGCGTGATCCTCGGTATGACTTCGGGGCCACGACGCAATCGTTGGTATTACTCTGCGGTCATGGCGCGATCGTCGAAATGACTTCGCCTCCTGCGTTCGCGGAACTATTGTGAGCATCTCTCTCAATAGTGGCGTCATCGTCACTCGCAAAGCGGCAAATTCGCCGACGATAGGATCGAGTCCGGTCCTGAAAATCGGGAATATCTTTTTCCCGAAAATTTCCCAAAATTTCAGGACCCGTCCATTCCTAATAAATAGCCTAACAATAAAGTAAAATTATTTAAACAAAGAAGTGCCATAACTAATTATTTATTACAAAGGTTCATACAAGAAGAATGTACAATATATTTTGCCTTCCTATTATTTTATTTGTGCCTTCTTTTGAGTTGTTCCATTGTTTTATGGTTTTCTGTAAAAAATCTAATATTAAAGGTTCATGGTCTGCAAAACAACCTCCTAATTGCATTTACATTATATAAATCTGATGAAAAGTTTACAATTAATTAATCCTATCTATGCATGATAGAAGTTTAGAAGAGAGAAGTTAAATAAAAAAATCCTTTAATTAATGATTTTTGGCCCGATCCGAACCAAAAAAGTCTGACCTGCAGACCCCTACTAACTATAGGATGTAATAAAATGCTCTGAGCTGTCAAAAGTTGTAAACTATGTTAAAGGCTTGTTGGTTGTCCACAGCATTCACCAGGAAACGGTGAGGTATACATGGAGACAGAGCCATGTCCTCAGCAGAATGTCGGGGAGGAGCCAATGGCCCCGTCTGGAGGTGAGGTGATGGTTGTGGGGGAACCTCCTCCACCTCCACCTCCACCATACCACGCCCCACCATTGGCTACCATCACCCCATACACGCTGGCACCCTTTGGCTTCACTGTGCAGCCCTTGCCTGCTCACTTCCAGCTGGCAAGGCACCCCCATCTGGCTCATCAGGTGTACCATCTCAGTCCGCCCACCTTCCAGTATCCTCCACACGCTGCTAACAGCCAGCCTGCGTACGCCAGTATCACGCAGCCTCCCATGCAGTATTATGGTGTTCGATCACATGGTGCAGTACCTCACCACGTGTTCCCCATAGCAGCCACCATGCAGCCTGGCACTATAGCACAGGTAAGAGAACATTTATATCAGTATATTTCTAATACCCATTGATAATACCCCCGCGGCAGCAAACCTGCACACAAGTGAATTTCCATTTGCCTGATTGGATTTACACTAAAATGTCTGAATAAAAATATCACATTTTATTCCCTATTTAAATAGAATTAGTTTAACGAGTACTTAGGTTTGCAATGAATGCAAGAAACACAATGGAAGAAATGAATGCATTTTCCAAATCAAATTCGATCAAAATATGTTGAACTATGTAACTGACTACAACAGTTTTCTTATTCTCCATAAGAATAACATGGGAATTTTAAATTTACAATTTTTTGAAATTTTCTCCTATATTTATATTGATGTTATTTGGTCCAGGATCACTTCTTGAATATTAAAATGGTATAATATTACCTGTTTCCGTCTGTGATCCTATATTTGTTGTATAGAGCCAATAGAGCCAATGTTGTATAGAGCTCTATACAACAAATATAGGATCACAGACGGAAACAGGTAATATTATACCATTTTAATATCCTATATTTATTTATCTATATATATATAAAAGGCAAAGCCCTCACTGACACACTCACTCACTCACTCATCACTAATTCTCCCACTTCTCATTTACCTAGGAGGCTGAAATTTGGTACACTGATTCTTTAGGCATTAAATAGGAAAACTAAGTGGTTTTTATTATGATCGGACTCTCGGGCTCCGCCCCAGTGGCTATGGAGTTTCCCATGTTAACCTAATGAGTACTCATATTTAAATGGAATTAATGAATCATAACAGCTGTTTCAATTAAACAAGTTGGTTCTGTTCTATGATGTTCAATAGCATTAAAGTTACAAGGATTACCAACAGGGTGCAGCACTATTATTTCTTTTACATTTATGACAACAGCTAATTTGCAACCAAAAGGTGAGTGAGCGTAGCGAACGAACTTCAACCTGGAGGCGAGTGAGCGTAGCGAACGAGCTAACCTGAAGGCAAGTGAGCGCAGCGAACGAGCTCCAAACCTAAAGGTGAGTGAGCGTAGCGAACGAGCTCCAACCCAAAGGTGAGTGAGCGTAGCGAACGAACTTCAACCAGGACGTGATTGAGCCATGCGAACGAGATCATCTTGAAAATTAAACGTAACGGTACTTTCTTTCCATCGGTCTGTCTTAGGGGAAACCTATAACTTAGGCGATACGAAGTTCGACGGGTCAGCTAGTTTATATATATATTGTAAACTTGTTCACTTATGAGGGCTACTAAGTAATTGATAAATAATATATAAAATAACATGAGTACCTACCCCTTTTTTCTTCTTTTTTATTTAACACACTTGAAAAGGTCATTATAGACGAAACATGTTGTGTAATTTTACTAAATAAAAAAGAAGAAAAAAAGGGTACTCATGTTATTTTATATATTACTTATCAATATATATATGTACATTAGCAAGATAACTCAAACAAAAATTATCCGATTTTGATGAAATTTGGTATAAACGTGTTTAAACCTACATTTATTCGAACGAGCTCGCGAACAGCATGATCGGACCATGGGACAACTATTTTGTAGAGCTTAAAAAGAGAAATAATTTAGTATATTGAAACATTGTTGTAGGCCTAATGGTTACAGAGAAAATTCAAAAAAGTTAAAATTTAAAATTCCTATGTTAATCTTATGGAGACAATGAAAACTGTCGTATTTTAACTTGTTTATGGATATATGTTGATAAAATTTGGCAAATTTTTCATTTCATACTATACTATTGACGTTTGGTCAAAAAACACTTGTTACCTTCCCCGTAGCAGCAAACCTAAGCACTCGTTAAATCTAATGCTATTTAAATTGGGAATAAATATGTCTTATTTATGGAAATATTTTAGTAAAACTGTAATCAGGAAATTCAATAAGTCTGCAGGTTTGCTGCGGCGGGGGTAGTGATGTAAAATACCTGGGTATTTTGGGTATTTATGAAATCGATTGAAATTCATTTATATTACCCCCTAAATATGTTATTGTTATCATTACGTGATAAATTAGGATAGTCTATAACACCTTTTACTGTAACTTGAAGCTTTGCTAGTACCTTTTATTTAATGTTTTAGCACTTTTTTTTAAATAATACATAAAGTTTCTAAATAAGCATGGGGTTTCGTGTCTTAAATTGAGTAACATCAGTTAAATTTAACTTACTAAATAATAGTTATTAAAATAAGCTGTGGCTATTTCAATTTTTATCATGTTGTAAATTTATAACCAATTAAATAACATTAAAAAAAATATTTTAATTTGTAAATATCCAGGAATTGTTGAATATTTATGATATAAAATTTGTATTGTATAAATGGCTTGGAAGGCTAGACAGACCTAAGGCCCGATTGACATAACCAGAATGGCAGAATACTAAAAGTAATTAAACTTTTCTGTGTTACAGCTTAGTTGGAAACAATAATATATTTGGATAAACCTACTAAAAAAATGTATCTCCTGTTTTTTGGTCTAACTTAATATAATTTTGAAAGATTTATTGTGCTATAGATTCAAATGTTTTGTATCACAAGTTTATGAAATTAGTTTGATACCAACAAAAGATCTAGAAAAAAATATTAAATCCTGCACAGATTGAATTTTAATTATTTTCTTAAGTTGTTACACATAGGCCACTACTAGGTTAAATTTTCCTGTCTTTCTAAATAATAATTATTACTTCGCAATTTTTTTTCACTTTCAATAAAATAAATTCATAGGCCACTACTAGGTTAAATTTTCCTGTCTTTCTAAATAAACACATAGGCCACTACTAGGTTAAATTTTCCTGTCTTTCTAAATAATAATTATTACTTCGCAATTTTTTTTCACTTTCAATAAAATAAATTCATCCATCTATCATAGAAATTTAAATATCATAAGTAGTCAGGACCAGTGCAACCATGTGACCAGGGTATTTATGCCGATTATGCTTAATGCTCAGACCTGGATATTTATGGCGATTATACCCAGAAGTAAAATGATAGTAGTGACCATATGAAATTTTGTTTAACACATTTTATCATCATTTTACTATCCTTACAGGGTAATAATTGCAAAAAAACATCTCAATCTTCTCTAACTTTAATAAAAATTATAAATACCCAGTTTTTGGGTATTTACCCGGGCCTGGGGTAAATACCCGGGTAAAAACCCAATTTATATTTACCTACCCACTGGGTATTTATCCAGCCCACATCACTAGGCGGGGGTATTTTTCCTGTTTTACACATTAGGGATAAAGGTACTGTCCTAGGAGTGGTTATTGCATATGGTTTTGCGCCATCCTCAAGGGCTATTTTGTAAAGATCAGGAATGAAGTCCAGACCACTAAACATTTCTTGGTATACTTTCTAGCTTTTTTTTTACTTTTTTATACATTAGGGGTAAATGTAATGTCCTAGGAGTGGTTATTGCATATGGTTTTGCGCCATCTTTAAGTGCTATTGTGTAAGGATCAGGAACGACGCCCAGACCACTAAACATGTCATGGTATTCGGTGAAAAAGTCACTGTCTACCTCTGCAACTGAATTTACAAAAGTTAAAATTTTCAAGTCCTGTATTGCTGGACGACCAAGCAACGGTGTTATATGAGTCCCTTCACAACATATTCTCTGTGATTTATTTTAACATCTCTGTATTGGATATTAGCTCTAATACAACCTACAGTTTGTAATTTTATTCTACCAAACTTATGCAACTCAACTAGGGTGGGCTGGAGCATACTTGGATCAACTATGCCAAGAATAATTACTGATACATCTGCCCCTGAATAAATTTTTAAATGTTTGTGGTTTTCCCTCAAATACTAATTCTAGTTTCCAGGGCTTTCATTTCGACCCATCACCAAGTGTATCTATGAATACTTTCTCATTTGAAGGCCCAAGTTCACTTACTTCCATTTTCGTCTGTTATACTTCCTGTGCTTCTTTAAATTTGTAGACCTTCGAAAAGTGACCAATCTTTTTGCATAAGTTACATGTTGTTTTTTATGCTGGACATGTGCTTCTTGGATGGGACGGTTTATAACCACACCTAATTAATTGCGATGGGTATTCTTGTTTCTTTTCATGAAACTTATATCCTTGATTTTTATTTGAACTTGATGACGTAGTTGCTTCAATTTAAACTCTTTACTCATCACATTAATCTGTTTTCTCTTTCTTTACATTATCTGCATGTCTTATTACTTTAACCCTTTGAGGACTCTTCCAGTGCCGCGCAAGGTTCGATACTCGGCCCAGATTTGTGGAACGCTGCCTACGACAGCCTTCTGAGATCTGAGATGCCAGAGGAGACCGTTTTAGTTGGGTACGCCGATGACGTCGCAGCCCTCATTGCTGCACGCAACGTTGAGCTAGCCCAACTGAAACTGAACCAAGTCATGCGCGTTGTAAACGCCTGGATGACTGATCATGGTCTGACACTCGCTCTGAGCAAGACAGAGATCGTCATCCTCACGAAAAAACGGATTGAAACCATCGTTCCGCTACGAGTTGGGAACGTAGTTGTCCAAACCACGCGAACCGCCAAGTACCTTGGTGTCTTGGTGGACAACAAGCTGAGCTGGAGGGACCAGATCTTCCGTACGGCGGACAAGGCTGCTAGGAGTGTTGCTGCTCTTAGTAGGCTTATGGCCAATGTCGGTGGTCCCCGGTCCAGCTGTAGAAGACTACTGATGTCTGCAGTCCAGTCCGTGCTTCTCTACGGCTCTGAGGTGTGGGCAGACGCGCTTAACAAGGAGGCGTATAGGTTGAGGCTCGCACGAGTGCAGCGTCGGGCGGCACTCAGGGTCGCTTCCGCGTACCGTACGGTGTCCGAACCGGCCGTTTTGGTGATCGCTGGAGTTATCCCAGTCAAACTCTTGGCAGCGGAGAGGAAGGCAATCTACCAGAGACAAGGCTACATCGGAAAGGACGCTGCAAGAACAGAAGAGCGCTCCCGCACTTTTCAGATGTGGCAAGAAAGCTGGGAAAGGGAGACT